AAAAAAAAAATTAAAAACAAAAAAATAAAAACAAAAATTTTAAATTAAAAAAAATATTTTTTCTATTTTAACTAAAGGTAAAAACTTTCGACTCAACACGATGACACGCCTTAAACTCGATACGAAAATAAAAAAATCAATTCGTAACTCGACACGACCCAATTAATTAAATGAGTTAAATTAGGTTTGATTAATATTTGACATAAACCCATAATTACTCAACACAAATTTGACACGACACAACACGACTTAATTGTCACCTCTAATCTCAGCTAGCACAAAAAACAATTGTCATTTTTATTTTTCATCCATCCAACCAAACACAAAGAAAACAAGGTGTATATTTCCTATTTTTCATCTTTGAAGGATAAAAAATATATTCCCCTACTTTCCATTCCCTACTTTCAATTCTCCTTTCCAAACGGAGCTACAGACCTTTTTACAAAAAAAGTCTTATAAATAAATAATGTCATCCCCAACAAACAGCGCAAGCAAAGAGAAATGGAGAGCACCCTCTCCAAGTCTACTCTTCACACACATAGATGTATGCGTCGCACACCCTTCAACCGTTTGTTCGCCGGAGTTTACACCATCGCCCTCTTTGCTCTGCTCTACCACCATGTACTCACACTTCTCCACTCCACCACCTTAGTCTCCTTCTTTATATCCATATCCATGTTAATCTCTGATATTCTTCTGGGATTCATGTGGTCCGCCTCACAGGCCTTTCGCATGCGCCCAATCCATCGCCAACAATTCCCTGAAAACCTTGAGAAAGTCGTTGACCGGAAGGATTTTCCGGCGATGGACATCTTTATATGCACTGCAGATCCGTACAAAGAGCCGCCGATGACCGTCGTCAACACGACCTTGTCGGTGATGGCTTATGACTACCCAACGGAGAAGCTTTCAGTGTATGTATCAGACGATGGAGGCTCAGAGCTTACTCTCTTTGCTTTAATGGAGGCGGCAAAGTTTGGGAAGCACTGGTTACCCTATTGTCGGCAAAATAACATCGTAGATAGGTGTCCAGAAGCTTATTTCAGATCAAACCACCCTCGGAGTTCAGAGATAGATAAAATCAAGGTGAATTCTTCATTAAGCGATAAATCTTCACTCTTTATTGAATATTTATATTTTTGTGTTCATCCGTTTGAGTTTTACATTGAACTTATTTAATGTTTTTATTCCTTTTTCCTTTCCTATTGGCCTTTTTCCAATTCCATTTTCCGTTTAGTGCTTCTTGTCTGTGTGTACTGTGTATATCACTTGTATTACAAAGGAGAAAGAACGACAAGGCAGACGCATTAGCCAAGTTAGCAGCCGCTCTAGCAGCCCCCCTGGTGGCAGAACAGAAGTCATTATACATGACAGGGTCCTTCTCCCAGACCTGAAAGAACTTATCCAGGATTGCAACGCTGTCACCATAGTGGAAATGGCTCCCTGCATGGAGGTATCTATTGAAGATTGGAGACATGATTTTATTAACTACTTGAAGCACGGCAGATGGCCAGAAGAAAGCCACAAAAGAACCCAGCTTCGTAGGAGGTTGCTCCAGTATGTGTATTTCAACGACACTTTATACAGAAAGTCTTATGACCAGCTGTGGCTGAGATGTTTGTCTAGTGATGAAGCAAAGCAAGCCATGTACTTCGTACATTCAGGGGTGTGTGGTGCCCACCAGTCTGGGCCAAAGATGCGAGTGAAGCTCAAACAGATGGGGTACTACTGGCCTACAATGGTCCAGGATTGTATGGACTATGCTAAACGCTGCCACATTTGTAAAATCCACGGAGACTATATAAAGACAATGCCAAAGCCCTTGCATCCTACCGTAGCATCCTGGCCTATCTTTCTGATCTGCTAGTACCTTCACATCTAAAGCCTGCCGAGCGTACGAAAAGGAGAATCTTTTTCTGAACCGCCCGCTACACTTCCCTTGCCCCTGTTCCATGGCGGAACAAGGCCTGAATTAGGATGATATTCATAGATCGGTTACTCTTTGTGTACGTTATGGAGTCTCCACTCCATGTTGAAAGCTCTTTCAAATAGCATGAGCGTTGAAAGTCTTCAATTAGACTAGAGCGTTAGATTTTGGATTTTAAGTGAGCTAGTTTCTCGATCAACTATCGCCCAAAGGTGCTTTTACGAAAGCCGGTCACCGATGGCTAAGATTCCTTCCTCACTCTAACTTTAGGAAGCTCACTTCTACCTTTTCTTGTGCGTTCGGGGATAAATAGAAACTTGAAATGTAAATGTATAGAAGACTCTCGATTGATTGGTTGTAATGTTCACGAGGTTGTATATAATCAAATGTTCAATAAGATGACTTTCCTACTGACTGAATCGCTTGAATTAGTTGAAGGAAACGAGGCTTCTGGCCCGGCTGATCCCGCTGGAGAGGAGAGTTTTGACTGCGAGGGAGGCAGGGGCTCGAAAGCAACAAGCAATGAGCTGCGCGAAAGCCGTTGCGCGTTAGCGCATCCGTTTTCTTGCTTTTCTTTGTTGAACCCTCCTTTGAGTCTAAAACTACCCTCTTTCTCGATATCCCAATTCTAGCGTTCGTTAGCAGAAATAGAGATAGGGGGGGATAGGATTTATTACAACATTTATGTGAAAATGACAGAAGCCGCTATAAAGGGAAGAAGCACATCCTGCACCTTGTATAGGGTTCCAAACCTGCGCCCCAGCTGAAGGAAGGGCTTCATAGCTCCAACCTAGTTTTGGGCTTACCTTACCTTACCTTACCTTACCTTATTATTATGAAAAGGGGAAAGGGCGGGGCTTGGAAGAAAGCTTTTCGTCAACAAGGAAACTTACTTTCTTTCTTTATTTCTTTCATAAGGGTATCAGATTTGGAATCCCCAGCTTTCTGTTAAAAGTTGTAGAGATTATTCACCAACTAAGCAATCCCTTTTCCAGTTAGTAGATTCACCAGAAAAAACAATCAGTCATTCATTGTCTGTACCCCGGCTCTTCTTTTCCAGTGGAGTGAGATGATGTCCTAAAGGACGAGATGAACGAACTATCGGATAATGAGGCGTGACGGACGGAGTGTGCTGAACATGATCCCTATCCTTTATCCCAATCCTGAAATACATGATTTGATAAATCCATTTCTTCTGTGCCATGATTTGATTATTGAGCAGATTCTCTTTCTTAAAAATAGGAAGGTCGACCTTGCGTTGCTCGCCTGTCTGGTAGTGGTTTGGGCTCTTTTCGTATGGTAACATATAGGCCTGACAGTAATCAACCCGTCAAATTGACGAGCAGACTCCTTGTCAACTAGGCGAGCTGATTCTCCTAAAAGGCTATAGCGCGTTACCATCGAGGGAGCCCTACCATTCCCAGTGGATCCTTCTTCTTCCTAAGAATTGAACAAAACAAGTTCACCTATACGAGAGTTCAGGTCAAGAGAAGGTCGACTATAACTAGTTGTAGACGCTTCAGAGGCTATACCCCCATCTACATCATCGCACGACGAAAACTAGGACTACAGACCAATCCCCGATCGGAAAACGAACATGTTCTATGCCCCGTCCACTCCTTGAGAAGGACAGGCAGCCCAGACTACATAATGGACTTGGTGGCCCGATTGCAACCTCATGGTACTAAGCCCGAGCCCTGGCCGATCCAATTAGCGGAAATCTCAGTGCTAGACCCCGAAAGGATTCTGATCATAGTTGTTCAGCGCGTCAAGTTGACACTATAGCTACAGGCAAGTGTTTAAGGTCGTGATTTCTCATTCAATGGCCTCACCATTATCATTCCCATGTACAATCCGACATCTAGTATTTCACCCGCAGGCTATACTGTCAAGCAAGGAAGGCGACCTCAAAGACTGGCGGCTAATTCGCGTGACGAAAAGCTAGGTTTTATTCCATCTCTAGTTTCATCGGATCGTTCATAGATTACATGCTTCTAAAGACTGCTGCTCAACGGCGTACGGCTGACGACAACGCAAGGCCGTGTATCGAAAAGCTGCCACCCAGTAGAATGTACCAACGCCTGAATTTGCTCTTACTACCAACCAGCGCGACGATGATAGCTACGAAATGTGCCGAGCCTATGTCCTTCCCAATCTAAGGGACAGTGTAGAGCGAACTTACCCGATTCTTCCCGAATCTTTTCAGACAAGGAGGGAACAACATCCCGGTCCGATGTTGGTTTTCCAACCCGACAGGACAGTCTTCCCAAGCGCCCGACTCAACGAGAATATAGCCTCATAGCTGGCACGGCGAAGCGTATTGTCCCCTATCTTTATTGCACCCCGGACACCCAATCGATCGTTCCCCGATTGACACCTGACAGCCCTGAGTTCTACCCGATCATCCCCAGATATAGATGCGTCACACAAGTCACTCTCTCCTGATCCGCGACCGTGACTGAAAGCAGTTTCTTAGGCGGTTGTGCCAAGCTTAGTTGAAATTGAAAAAGGGACGGGAAGAAAGTAGTAGTGAGTAAAAGTGCTCAGAGAAGCGACATGCATATTCTAGCTAGCTAGCCAATTCATTTCATTTCATTTCGAGGGTAGCAATGATGAGGTGCAGCCGTCCGCTAACAATCGCCAATTTCGTGTCAAGAACGATCCCATAAGCGATCCTCTCTAAGTAGAAATCGAGATTTCCTGTCCATATAGCTTGGGGGGCTTTTAGATAGGCATTTTTCCTACTACTATACTAATTAGTTTAGTAGGGGGCAAGCAAGTTCCATTTTTTTGACAAACATATCAGAATTTAGATGAATCAAACGACATTTTCTGGAATCTGGCATTTAGCGACAGGTGGGTCTTAAAAAGACGTCAATTGCGAGAAGAGGTCTTGCTGCTTTGACTTTAAATGCTCTTGCTACGCGCTGAGTTATTACCGTAATGCATGATTAAATCAAAGAAAGTGATGACCATGCTGCTTACGCGCTTAAGCAACAAACCAAGCGAAAAGGTAACTCCGCACTTTGTTAAGAACAGAAAATGTCGTTTTTGTGTGACAAAAGCTAAACATAGCAGTCGTCATCCTGAAATCGACTCATGCTTACTGTGCCCACTACCTTTCCAATAACCCATACGCTTCGCTTTCTCCTGCCACACACGAGGGATTGAATCCCTCGTGGGTGCAGGAGAAAGCGAAGCGTATGGGTTATTGGAAAGGTAGTGGGCACAGTAAGCATGAGTCGATTTCAGGATGACGACTGCTATGTTTAGCTTTTGTCACACAAAAACGACATTTTCTGTTCTTAACAAAGTGCGGAGTTACCTTTTCGCTTGGTTTGTTGCTTAAGCGCGTAAGCAGCATGGTCATCACTTTCTTTGATTTAATCATGCATTACGGTAATAACTCAGCGCGTAGCAAGAGCATTTAAAGTCAAAGCAGCAAGACCTCTTCTCGCAATTGACGTCTTTTAAGACCCACCTGTCGCTAAATGCCAGATTCCAGAAAATGTCGTTTGATTCATCTAAATTCTGATATGTTTGTCAAAAAAATGGAACTTGCTTGCCCCCTACTAAACTAATTAGTATAGTAGTAGGAAAAATGCCTATCTAAAAGCCCCCCAAGCTATATGGACAGGAAATCTCGATTTCTACTTAGAGAGGATCGCTTATGGGATCGTTCTTGACACGAAATTGGCGATTGTTAGCGGACGGCTGCACCTCATCATTGCTACCCTCGAAATGAAATGAAATGAATTGGCTAGCTAGCTAGAATATGCATGTCGCTTCTCTGAGCACTTTTACTCACTACTACTTTCTTCCCGTCCCTTTTTCAATTTCAACTAAGCTTGGCACAACCGCCTAAGAAACTGCTTTCAGTCACGGTCGCGGATCAGGAGAGAGTGACTTGTGTGACGCATCTATATCTGGGGATGATCGGGTAGAACTCAGGGCTGTCAGGTGTCAATCGGGGAACGATCGATTGGGTGTCCGGGGTGCAATAAAGATAGGGGACAATACGCTTCGCCGTGCCAGCTATGAGGCTATATTCTCGTTGAGTCGGGCGCTTGGGAAGACTGTCCTGTCGGGTTGGAAAACCAACATCGGACCGGGATGTTGTTCCCTCCTTGTCTGAAAAGATTCGGGAAGAATCGGGTAAGTTCGCTCTACACTGTCCCTTAGATTGGGAAGGACATAGGCTCGGCACATTTCGTAGCTATCATCGTCGCGCTGGTTGGTAGTAAGAGCAAATTCAGGCGTTGGTACATTCTACTGGGTGGCAGCTTTTCGATACACGGCCTTGCGTTGTCGTCAGCCGTACGCCGTTGAGCAGCAGTCTTTAGAAGCATGTAATCTATGAACGATCCGATGAAACTAGAGATGGAATAAAACCTAGCTTTTCGTCACGCGAATTAGCCGCCAGTCTTTGAGGTCGCCTTCCTTGCTTGACAGTATAGCCTGCGGGTGAAATACTAGATGTCGGATTGTACATGGGAATGATAATGGTGAGGCCATTGAATGAGAAATCACGACCTTAAACACTTGCCTGTAGCTATAGTGTCAACTTGACGCGCTGAACAACTATGATCAGAATCCTTTCGGGGTCTAGCACTGAGATTTCCGCTAATTGGATCGGCCAGGGCTCGGGCTTAGTACCATGAGGTTGCAATCGGGCCACCAAGTCCATTATGTAGTCTGGGCTGCCTGTCCTTCTCAAGGAGTGGACGGGGCATAGAACATGTTCGTTTTCCGATCGGGGATTGGTCTGTAGTCCTAGTTTCGTCGTGCGATGATGTAGATGGGGGTATAGCCTCTGAAGCGTCTACAACTAGTTATAGTCGACCTTCTCTTGACCTGAACTCTCGTATAGGTGAACTTGTTTTGTTCAATTCTTAGGAAGAAGAAGGATCCACTGGGAATGGTAGGGCTCCCTCGATGGTAACGCGCTATAGCCTTTTAGGAGAATCAGCTCGCCTAGTTGACAAGGAGTCTGCTCGTCAATTTGACGGGTTGATTACTGTCAGGCCTATATGTTACCATACGAAAAGAGCCCAAACCACTACCAGACAGGCGAGCAACGCAAGGTCGACCTTCCTATTTTTAAGAAAGAGAATCTGCTCAATAATCAAATCATGGCACAGAAGAAATGGATTTATCAAATCATGTATTTCAGGATTGGGATAAAGGATAGGGATCATGTTCAGCACACTCCGTCCGTCACGCCTCATTATCCGATAGTTCGTTCATCTCGTCCTTTAGGACATCATCTCACTCCACTGGAAAAGAAGAGCCGGGGTACAGACAATGAATGACTGATTGTTTTTTTGGTGAATCTACTAACTGGAAAAGGGATTGCTTAGTTGGTGAATAATCTCTACAACTTTTAACAGAAAGCTGGGGATTCCAAATCTGATACCCTTATGAAAGAAAATAAAGAAAGAAAGTAAGTTTCCTTGTTGACGAAAAGCTTTCTTCCAAGCCCCGCCCTTTCCCCTTTTCATAATAATAAGGTAAGGTAAGGTAAGGTAAGGTAAGCCCAAAACTAGGTTGGAGCTATGAAGCCCTTCCTTCAGCTGGGGCGCAGGTTTGGAACCCTATACAAGGTGCAGGATGTGCTTCTCCCTTTATAGCGGCTTCTGTCATTTTCACATAAATGTTGTAATAAATCCTATCCCCCCCTATCTCTATTTCTGCTAACGAACGCTAGAATTGGGATATCGAGAAAGAGGGTAGTTTTAGACTCAAAGGAGGGTTCAACAAAGAAAAGCAAGAAAACGGATGCGCTAACGCGCAACGGCTTTCGCGCAGCTCATTGCTTGTTGCTTTCGAGCCCCTGCCTCCCTCGCAGTCAAAACTCTCCTCTCCAGCGGGATCAGCCGGGCCAGAAGCCTCGTTTCCTTCAACTAATTCAAGCGATTCAGTCAGTAGGAAAGTCATCTTATTGAACATTTGATTATATACAACCTCGTGAACATTACAACCAATCAATCGAGAGTCTTCTATACATTTACATTTCAAGTTTCTATTTATCCCCGAAACGCACAAGAAAAGGTAGAAGTGAGCTTCCTAAAGTTAGAGTGAGGAAGGAATATCTTAGCCATCGGTGACCGGCTTTCGTAAAAGCACCTTTGGGCGATAGTTGATCGAGAAACTAGCTCACTTAAAATCCAAAATCTAACGCTCTAGTCTAATTGAAGACTTTCAACGCTCATGCTATTTGAAAGAGCTTTCAACATGGAGTGGAGACTCC